TCAAATAGATCTTTCACTTCCTTGGTGAGAGTTACCCCAAGATACTTTATGCTGTTTGTGGCTATCGTGAAAGGTGATGTTTCTCTGATTTCCCTCTTTGTAACTTTGTTCTTTGTGTATAGGAGGGCCACTGATTTTTTGGAGTTGATCTTGTATCCTGCCACATTACTAAAGGTGTTGATCAGCTGGAGGAGTGCTTTGGTAGAGTTTTTGGGGTTGCTTATGTACACTATCATATCATCTGCAAATAATGAAAGTTTGATTTCTTCCTTTCCAATTCGAATCCCCTTGATCTCTTTATGCTGTCTTATTGCTATTGCTAGAACTTCAAGCACTATATTGAAGAGGTATGGAGAGAGTGGACAGCCTTGTCTTGTTCCAGATTTTAGTGGGATGGCTTTGAGTTTCTCTCCATTTAATTTAATGTTATCTGTCGGCTATTATGAGTGTTGTTGGCTTCCTTGGTTTGTGGTTTTCCTTCTAGTATTTTCTGTAGGGCTGGGTTTGTGGCTACGTATTGTTTAAATCTGTTTTTGTCCTGGAATATCTTGTTTTCTCCATCAATGGTAAAAGCAAGCTTTGCAGGGTATAGTAGTCTGGGCTTCCATTCTTGGTCTCTTAGTTTCTGCAGCACACTTATCCAAGATCTTCTGGCTTTCATGGTTTCCATTGAGAAGTCAGGTGTAATTCTGATAGGTTTCCCTTTATATGTTACTTGACCTTTTTCCCTTGCAGCTCTTAATATTTGTTCTTTATTCTGTATGTTTTGTGTTTTGATTATTATATGGCGAGGGGATTTTTTTTATCCAGTCTATTTGGTGTTCTATATGCTTCTTGTACCTTCATAGGAATATCCTTCTTTAGATTGGGAAAGTTTTCTTCAATCATTTTGGTAAATATATTTTCTGGGCCTTTGAATTGTAAATCTTCTCCTTCTTCTACACCCATTATTCTTAGGTTTGGCCTTTTCACGGTGTCCCAGATTTCCTGGATATTTTGTGTTAAGAATTTGTTGAATTTGTTTTGTTCTTTTTCAGTGAGTTTATTTCCTCTACAGTATCTTCAGTGTCTGAGATTCTTTCTTCTATCTCTTGTATTCTGTTGGTAATACTTATCTCTGCAGTTCCTATTCGTTTACCCAGATTTTCCATATCCAGCATTCCCTCAGTTTGTGTTTTCTTCATTACCTCCATTTCATTGTTTAAGTCTTGAACTGTTTCCCTTTTTTGTTTGATTGCTTTTTCTTTGATTTCTTGGGGTTTTTTTGGGTATCTTTGAGAGATTTATTCATTTCATCTACTTTTTTTTGTTTGTTATCTCCATTTCTTTACGGCAGATTTTCACCTCCTGTTTAAGTTCCCCTATTATTTTCATATAGTTCCGCTTAGAGTCGATTTTTTCTGTTTCTTCTGGAGTAGGGTGTTTAATTATTCTTGTTTTGTGATACCTGGATTCTGGTGATGTCATGTTGTCTTTCAGGTTGTTGGAAGAATTCTTGCATTGATGCCTGCCCATCTCTTCCTTCAAATGGAGGAAGGAGAGTCTTAGTGTCTTGTTTCAGTTTTTACTGTGACTGACTCTCTGGGTGGATCTCTTCAGTGCAGGAGCAGGAACTGTTCCTGTCCCTCTAGACGGTATTGCTCAGCACCCTCTGGATGGAACTCTTCAGCACAGTCACAGGGATAGCCCTCTGGATGGAACTCCTCAGCACCCTCTGGATGGAACTCCTCAGCACTGAAATAGGGATAGCTGGTATTCCAAGGACATAGGAGACAAAAGGGCGACCTTGGGAGCAGGGCAGAGTCGAGAGGAACACAGAAGACCCTGCAGCAGAAGCTGGGCAGGGGGACTGTGCTCTCTACCAGAACAGTCCGCCCCAGATAGCACAGATTCACCCCTCTGGATGGAACTCCTCAGCACAGAAATAGGGATCGCTGGTATTCCAAGAACACAGGAGACAAAAGGGCAACCGTGAGGGTAGGCCAGAGTCAAGTGAAACACAGAAGACCCTGCAGCAGAAGCTGAGGGGGGAGGGTTGTGCTCTCTTCCAGGACAGTCCACCCCGATAGCACACACTGACCTCTCTGGATGGAACTCCTCAGCACTGAAATAGGGATAGTTGGTATTCCAAGGACACAGTAGACAAAAGGGTGACCATGGGGGCAGGGCAGAGTCTAGTGGAACCTAGAAGACCCTGAAACAGAAGCTGAGGGGAGGCTGTGCTCTCTTCTAGGACCATATATATATATACTTACCATTTATATTATCCCTCTAATAAAGAGAAGATATCCTGAGTAAATTGGGAAAATGGGAAAATGTGTGTTGTAAAAAGGAGCAAGTCATGTCCCACCGCCTGACTAGCTTAACCCCCAAAATAATCACACCAGCTCCTGGCCACCCTTCTAGCTTAACCCCGAAATAATTACACAGAAACTGTATTCATTTAAACACTGCCTGGCCCATTATTTCTAGTCTCTTATTGACTAACTCTCACATCTTGATTAACCAATTTCTATTCATGTGTATCGTCACTTGACTGTGGCTTAACCAATGTGAGCCTAACCAGTATCCATCTTGGGAAGGAGAATCATGGTGTATGCCACACTGCCTTCTTCCCAGCATTCTGTTCTGTCTACTCTACCCACCTAAGGACTGACCTATAAAAGACTAAGGCAGTTTCTTTATTCAACCAATGAAAGCAACACAAACACAAAAGGGCCTCCTATATGATTTTCCCTTTTCTGTTAAAACAAAAAAGAAAGGCTTTCACTTTAACATAGTAAAATTACATGTAGTAAAACAGTTATCAAGCAAAAATTACAGTTACAATATTTATATCTATTTTATCTTTTATATTAACAAAGGAAAACTGTAACTATAACTATCTATCTATTCTTCAACTCTATCAAAGACTCAAGAAGGATATATTACCTAACTAAACAAGAAGTAAGCAACTTCCAAAACTCCAGAAATGACAGAGACATTTTGCTGCTGTACAGTCACCCCAAGTTTTTCTGTAGTGTTGGGGCATCCATCTTCAGCCTACAAGCCCATAGTATTCAGCACACATTTCTGTGAAGCAGGAAATTTTAAAGACAGTTCAGTCCCTTTCTTCTGTGTCCTTCAGAATGTCTAGCAGACACTTTCATGAAGCATGAACCCTGAAGGATCATCTCACCTTTAGGCAAGTTCAGCAGTCCTTTTGCTGCAAGTTCTTTATGTCCAGTTTAGGCAACAGTCCAGGCAAGAGCAGTTTCTTGCCCAAATGGCTATCAAACTCCATAAAGAGCCTCTTCGATGCATATCTTCCTCTCAAAGTAGCTTGGTGCTGCCAGAAGCAGATGTGTCTTACCATCATAAAAAGACCTAAGTTATTAAAACATCTTAAATGTCATATTCTGTAGTCTTTGAAAGATATAAAGAATGCTTATCTGAAATATATCTATGCACATCTAGAAAATGTAACTAACATAACTACAAACTTGACTATTATTGATGATTATTCATTAACAAACTCTACTTCCTAATTATACATTACATTTTTAAATGAACTACACAATCACAATACCTTAATCAAGAGCAGAAATATACATATAACAAGATTGACCTTAAATTTATATCAATAAAGCAAAATTCATACCAATGCAAATTATTCATATCTATATCATAATCCCACTTCTGACACCTCCCAACACTTGGGAGGCAGAGGTAGATGGACCTCTGTAAGTTCAAGATGTAGTAGCACACACCTTTAATCCTAGCACTTGGGAGGCAGAGGCAAGTGGATCTCTGTGAGTTCAAAGACAGCCTGGTCTACAGAGGGAGTTCCAGGACAGACAAAGATACACAAAGAACCTGACTCAAAAAGCCAAAAAGTAAAAATAAAAGAAATAGAGGTTAAAGTAAAGCCACATAAAGATGGAAAATACACAGAGAATCTTGATACTGCATGTTATTATGTTCTCTTTGAATTGTTTGAATGCTGAGGAAGAAACAACAGCTGCTAAAAGGTATTTGTTTATAAATGCTGCTGAACTAATCCAAGATAGGTATTTTGAAAATACCTTGACTTCAATATTGAAGTCAGAAAGTATGTTACTTTGGAGAAGAGATTTTGCTTTTGTTTCAATAGGAAATGAGAGGCTGTGGATTCATTCTGAGTTAAGAAAAATCAGGTTTGAGCAAGGAAGACCACCTGAGAAATCTCCAGTAGGAACAGATGGCCCAGATGTCTGAGTTCCACATATAGAACAGATTAAGACTGCTGTTTGATATGATCAAAAGTCACAGGATACTCCAGTCAGGACTTGATCATAATTCTAAATTTTCTTTAGGTCCCCATAAGATTATCAGTGCCCCCAACTAGTCATAAGTAGCCTGGAATACTACGCCCACATTCCCAAAAAATGGACTATGGATGTTTTCTTTTGTTTAAAAAAAAAAGTGGAAGTAGTGTGGGAGAATTGTCTGTATTCTGTCAATCATGTGTTAAATATATGTTGGTTGGCCAATAGCCAGGCAGGAAAATCAGACAGGAAGTAGAGTCAGAGAAATGAGAACAAGAGTATTCTGGGAAGAAGGAAGCTCTTTCCCCAGTCCTGCACAGATCATTGAAGAAGCAGGATGTGACCTGCCCTGATGAAAAGGGTACTGAGCCATGTGGCTAACATAGATAAGGATAATGGGTCAATATACGTTATAAGAGTTAATACGAAGCCTGAGCTAATGGACCAATCCATTTATAACATGTAGACTCTTGTGTGTTTTCTTTGGGGCTTTCCAGCTATGGGAACTGGCAGGAGAGAAAACCCAACAAGCGGGACTTCATGTTACACATGGGGACATTGGGAAAGGGTTGAAGGTGGGAGGGGAGAGGCAGAGAGGGGAGCAGAGAAAATGTACAGTTCAATAAAAGTCAATAAGAAAAAATCAAGGTTAATAAAGCATTATGCAATCCTTATTCCTTTCAAGTTTGAATCCCCTCGATCTCCTCTTTCTAGATAGCCTCATGAAGGCTGCATGTCTTTTTTTTTTTTGAGACAGGGTTTCTTTGTAGCTTTGGTGCCTATCCTGGAACTAGCTCTTGTAGACCAGGCTGGCCTCAAACTCACAGAGATCCACTTGCCTCTGCCTCCTAAGTTTTGGGATTAAAAGCGAGTGCCACCAACACCTTGCTGAAGACTGCATGTCTTAAGATAGTGTTGTAATAATCTCTGCTTTCAACATACCACATTACTCAGCCTGCTGATAATGTACTTTAATACAGTATGAATAACATGATAATATTTTCCCAACAAATAAATTAATTATAAATTTTCTTATTTGTATAGTACATAGAACTGGAGACCTTATAGTTTTAAACAAATGTTTCAAAATGCAAAAATTGGGAATCTGAATAAAGACTCCAGTCATACACCCTGTATTAATTACTTTTCTCATAGGTATCCCAAGTTATATTGGAACACACCAATGTGAGAAAGATTGATTTGGGATCATTATTTGCAGGTACAGTTCAAATGACAGAGAAAGTTTAGTTGCTAGATCATGAAAGAGCTGGTAACAGTGTATCTACAGTTAGAATAAAAAAAATGACTCTTAAAAGTTATTCTGGACAGCTTCTCCTTTTTTCCCAGGATGCAAATCCAGAAAATAAAATCTCCCATCTTCCTACTAAGGTCAGTCCTCTCTGAAAATGCCTTTACAAAAATACACAGATTGTTTTGTTTTCTTAGTTTATCATAAATCTCATCAAATTTATAAGAAACATTAGCCACCTCACCTTTATGCCTTGACTACTTGCTGCCTGAATGCATCACTTTTAACATTATACCAAACTTCTTAAGTATGTATATTCACTTCATGAAGTCAAATTAATTTAATAAACCTCTAAAATTCCTACAGCCTTAACACTTACAACATTGCACAAATGTCTCTGGTCCAGAATCTTAGAGTGATGATGCACCTGTTAAAGAGTGGATATTCATCCTGCTGAGGGGTAAGGTTTTGTTTCCAGTGTTTACATTAGGCTATGCAGAGTTGCACAAAACTCTGCTCCAAATGATCTGTTCTGGCACTTGATATCATCTTTACTCACATGTACTAACTGAGTCAAAAATATGTGACATAGTATGAAATAAAATAACTATTTTTATGTATATGATCCAATTTTTCCCTGAAACTCAATGCCATAGTATATCTGGGCTTAAAAACATTCTGTACTTCAAATATGTATACATAACTTTAAGAACTACTGCATAGTGTTATGCTTTAAAGTTGTGCCATTGAGTATCAAGCTGACATGAGATAGTGATGAGATGGATAGTATTTATTGTCAATTTGATGAAATTAAGAGTTAGAGACGAACTGTCTCTAAGTGCAGAGATTTCCAGTGAGGTTTAAGCTGGATGAGAGGATGTTCTGGGTGTCTGTAGCTCTATTCTCTATGTTTAATTCTTGGGCATAAAATAAAACTGTGTAGAATATAATTTGAAGATATATTCTGTAATTTTGTTCTTTCTCATTGTACGGCCATGGTGACCAGATCATTCATGATCCCACCACTATGATTTATCTGCCATGAAGTGCAATACCTGCAAGCCATGAACTGAAGTTAGTCCTTCCTTCCTCATGTTGACTTTTATCCTCACATATTTTGCCACATCTTTGAGAGAAGTAATTTATACAAGTGGTGTGACAGGGGTTTTCAAACACAGTTCATAATTTTTGTGTTTTGTAACATTTTTAAAGATATAATGTTGCCTCCAACATCATGCATTGTTTAACTGAAGAGATACATAATTAATTTAATTGTGGAGAATACATGAGCATGTTCATGATCTAACAAAGTGTATTTTCCTGTGAATAGGTGATGAGTTGTGTATGAAGTATCAATTATTACAACACTAATTGTCTTAAGACATAGATTCTTAATAAGGCTGTCCAAGATTTTCCTTTGGGGACTCTCAAGTAGTAGCCAAGTGACGTTCAAAGGTCTGTTATAAATATTTTGTCTATATAAGGTTTCAAATGAATCCATATCAAAGTTTAAAACGGTAAAATATTTTTCTTATATTTGTATACTTATTATGAAAAATGATCACAGTTTAACATTTGAGTTTCCTTGCAACATTAGAGATGCAACAATATGATATGATTTTAGATTTTCCAAATGAGGTTCCTTGCAACATTAGGGATGCAAAATATGATAGGATTTTGGATTTTCCAAATGAGATTTACATTTTCTATTTTCCCTTCAGGTGATCCACTGGTAGAGGGAACCCAAAGGTTTATGGAAAAATTTTTCCTCTTCTAATTAAAGTTACTGGAACATCTTCCTACAGGTATCTAAAGAGTAACTCTTCTCTAGTAATGTAAAGAATCTGAATAATTTTAAGGTAAAACTTTCAATGTTGTATAAATAAAATGTAAAACTATGCTTTCTAAAACAATTTTTAACGTATATTAGTGTTGAGGAAATTGGAACATATATGAATAGCAATGTAATTTGGCTGAGATTTATGCACCCTTATTTCTCTTATTTATCTTTTTTCAGTATTTTGCCAGAATTCTGGTTGGTATTGCTGAATGTCAGCCCTCTACCACATCTTCCTGAGCACACAGAGATTTTCTCTCTAAATTGTTCAAATTGGATTTATCCTTTTGTTGCACTAGAGCTGTGTTTTCCTAAATGTCATCTCTAGTGATCTTGTTTTTGTTTACTTGTCCTGTAAACTTTCATGGAATTCCCTTAAGCTTAAGCAGACACCTGACCAATCTGTACATTATAATCATTTATTGACATAAAATAAGACATCTTAAAAGTGTTATGTTTAACAGAATATCTGCACATGCTTGTATATTTTTATCTTTACCTCCTTCAATGGAGAATAAGATGCCCCCGTACTCTCTACATAAGTCTCTATCACTTAGTCATCTCTCTCTCTCTCTCTCTCTCTCTCTCTCTCTCTCTCTCTCTCTCTCTTCTCTCTCTCTCTGTTACACACACACACACACACACACACACACACAAACCCTCCACCCACAGTGTTATGCAATTAATTTTGACATTGTAAATAATATAGTTTTAATATAAGGCATTTGATTTTCATCAGAACATATCAGATAATATTCAAAAGCAAATTATAGACACTATGACATGATAAAAATATTCAAGAAAACAAGAGGTCCTTTGCAACTGGGATTCTAGCTTTAGAAAGTCACAACACATTAGAAATAATTAATTTTCACAGAAACAAAACACTGAACATATTAGTGAAGGGTGGAAAAGGAACTTAGTAAATATAATTGCATTGAATAGCTTTGTCTTTAAAAATACTGATGAGAAATCCACAATTGAACAGAGAAAGAGCACAATGAACACTGTCAGATTGTGCTGTTTCATTACTATTTGTCTGATCACACAGAGTCTCCACTGTATCTAGATCATTACAGTTGACTCAGCTTAGAAAGGCACACCCTTTTTAATCTAAATGGGAGTATTGTCAGATGCTTTATTTTTTTTGCAAGGTGATTATATATCAGATGTATCATTTAGATGACTGGATATATGTTCCCAGTAAATTTTATTAGTTCTCCTAGTGTCAGCCTCATCAGTGAGCCACCTGTCTACAATCCTCTACTGTTCAAGCAAGTATTAGGGGAAGGAGTGTTTATATATGTGGCCTTTTTGTAGTAGGGAATACATGATGTAAAATATGGCAGGTAATAAGTTGAAAATATTTTGGGTTCTTTTCTTTCCTTTATAAGAGATTATACTGGCTTGAGAAAAACAACATACTTGTCCTCAATGTTGAGCAAGAATTTATTTAAAGCTTATGATGGCCAAAATCAACGAAAATCATGGGAACGATGTCAAACTTTTCTCTTATCATTAGCATTTCATTGGGTATTTACCGTGGTTTTAGGTAAAGCAGCATCTAAAACACTATTATTATTTCATTAATAGCTCTTATGAAAACTGTTAAGAAAAAAGTTGACATATATATTCAGCAAATTGATTCAACTTCTGTTACCCAAACTCATAGCCATATTATACAAATGCAAGATTGTGATTACAGAACTAAATGAAACCCACAATTTTATTTTTAGATTTTAGGTATTTTATTTTATTTTTCTGTACTTTTACTTTTTTTCTGTGTTTTAATGCATTGTACTAATATTATATATGATAATGTTATCTTTATATACATTTGTACTTACCATATCAAGGTAATTGTTAGGCTTATCTTTATGTCAATCTATCATTTCTCTACTGTCCAAATATTCAAAGTTATTTCTTATACCTAGATGAAATACACTCAATATTCATAAAAAATCTGATTACTACTTAAATGGAAACAAGGCCTCTTCAAAACACAAAGATTCCCGCTAGAATAATTATGACTATACAAATTAAACAAAATAAGGCTGATTTAGACCACACCTGCTTTTGTTACTCAGGCTTAATTTTAAAATGGTGAGGAGTTACGATTCTATAGCTCAATTATGGAATGTATTTATATTTACTGAGCCTTAAAGACAATATAAGGAAAGAGGGGGGAGAGAGAAACACGAGAGAGAGAGAGAGAGAGGGAGAGAGAGAGAGAGAGAGAGAGAGAGAGACAGATGAGGAAAGAAAATCAGAAAGAAGTAAGCAAGTGAAGGGAGAAGAATGGGGAGAGAGGCACGGAGAGAATATACAGATATACAGTAGGGAGAGAGATAGGGAGACAGAAAATGAGGAATTGAAGGGAATGGAGAAAGAAATAAGAATTTTTGAAAATGTATTTGTACCTTAAGTGTAATTTCTTGATCCCTTTCCACAGGGAATTTCTGTATGTCAGTGTTATGATTTGGGGGAAGTAATGCCAATTTTTACTCATTTTACTTTTCCTCTTAAAGGGACTGAAAAGATTCTGGTATGCCCAATATCACTGCAATAACAGAATTCATCCTTATGGGGTACTCTGATATCCATGAACTACAGACTTTATGTGGAGTATTATTCCTAGTGATGTAAATGGCAGCAAAGTACTTACCTTTATAAAAAGACAAAATATTTTGCTTGTTGCTCACATTTGCTTTCTTGGGATATGAAATGAATACAGTTTAGCTTTTAGATCTTAGAATTTTGTAGCAACCTCAATATAATATGCATAAGATATGAAATCAGTATTTCTGAATGAAAGATACATGTTCTATTTACCTTTCAGGTTATCTAATACTAAACTGAACTCTTACCAATATGGAAAAAAATCCCTTCTCAAATCTACCTGACAGAAAAATCTAACAAGTAACTAACTCTATTCGTGGAATTTGAAGAATCTGAAAATTTTAAAGGTACGAATTTCTAATTTATATTCATACAATGTTAAAGTATGCTCTTTAAGACATTTAAAAATATTATATATAATTAAGAATTTGAGGAAGTTATTATAAACACTGTAATTCACCATTATATCACATTTATGTCATGTTTGCCTTCCTTCTTTATTTCCCCAGTCTGAGGATTGTAATAGCCAATAAAGTGTCAAGAATCTCATCCCTCTAAAACACAATTTTCCTGAGTACACAGACAGCTTTTCTATAAGTATTCCAAATAGGATTAACCTTGTGTTTCATTAAAGGTGTGATTTCCTAAATGCCATCTTTGTATAAATGCTTAATCCTTTATAATTTTCCTATGTACATAGGTGGAAGTCACTTAAACTGAAGCAGGCTTCAGACTAACCACAAAATTAAAATTTTTTTATTGCCCAAAATCATTCCATCTGAAGACTTTTTGTTGTTTTCTAAAATATTTGTACATGATTATCTTTGTATCTTCAGGTGGAGGTGGAGAATAAGGAGCCCCATACAGATTATATTAGCCTCAATCATTTGGTCATGAAAAACACACACACACACACACACACACACAGAGAGAGAGAGAGAGAGAGAGAGAGAGAGAGAGAGAGAGAGAGAGA